GAATAATAGATTGAATGCGCTTTAAGTATTTGAGCAATGTTTGTTCAGTAGATTGTTTTCCTTTGAAAGGCTCTGCAGCCCTCTGTGCAAGTTTTTTGATCCTTAAAACATTGCTGAGAAGATGTTTTTATATTCTAAGGTAATTGTTATTCTTGAAGCTCTTAATTAGTAAACTTTAAAACTGCATGGGAGAGAAGTTCTTATTTATTAACTTCATGTTTTCTTTGCTCAAAGAGAAACTTGATTTTTGGTTTTCTCCATCGCTAGGCACAGTTTTCTTTCATATATGCTGATGTAGCTGCAGGGAGAGGCAGATAAACAGTTGTAGTTATTTATAGTATGTGGACTCCACCTCCTTCATTTACAGTTAACTCATTTTTTGTTGGTGTTTATTAAACTATACTCTGCTATTCTTTTTACTCCATTACAGGTTTTAGAAAGTTTGTCTTCTAGTCTAACATAGTAGTTAAATTCAGGGTCTGGAACTCTGAATTAACATCTGGAAGCTCTGTGATCTTAAGTAATTGAAGTTTCAGATTTCTCATATATGGAGCTGAGATAATGATAGATACCATGTAGTTTTTTGGTTGGAGTCAAAAGAGATAATACAAAGAGACACTAAGCACAGATTAAGTATAGTGGCCTTAACTTTGAAAGTTCACTTAATGGTTTATTGGCTTTATCCTAAAGAGGGAAAAGTTGTAATGCATTCGAGGGCTGAGACACAGCCCCAAAGCTTTATCCGTTTGAGTGCTTTTATTGTCAGCAATGGGATGCCATTTTAACTCAGAACAGGTCCAGGAGAGAGACTGTTAAGTAACTTTAGAAACACAGACCAACATCCAGATGCGGAGAGAAAAAAAAAGAACTTTTTGTTTAGTTTAGTTTTTTTTCTCTTTTTGTCTCTGCTTGCTCCCTAATGCCAAGTGTATATGCAGAATGGGAAACAGAAAAGTCTGCTTTCCTGTTTATTATATTGTTCTTGTTCAGTTACAGAAAACCTTTGATCTGAGTGCTTTTAGAAATGGTCAGTAATAGAGCTAACATTAAGTTTGGAAGAGTTAAGTTGGTGAGCCATGGGGTTGCCATGCCAGTGGAGTGTGAAAGAGACTAAGTTTCAGCCTGTTTCCCAGCCTGTAAAGTGTGAAATCAGTGGTGCTCATGCGTGGCGACTGTAGCTAGTAAAGTGTGAAATGTTGGGGCATTAATTATGCTACATTGCGAGGAAAACCTTTCATGCTGTGGTTTAAGACTCAGGGTTCTGCTGGGATTATGTGTTAGGTACCTTTTGTTGTCATCCCGATATTCAGATTTTTCAGGAAATGTTAGACGTTGTAGTCTCTTTGTCTAACTGCATGCAGGGAAGCAAAGGCTGTCCATGCCTGAGGAAAACACAAAATACTGTGACTATTATGTCCTCTGTAAGACTGCATCTGAAAATACCATCTGCAGCTCATATTTGATACGTGTTTCTCATTTTGTGATTTTTTTTTTATTTTTTTCAGATAGTCTTGTTTTATAGCTCAAGCTGACCTTGAACTTGGGATCACCTTGTCTCAGCCTCAGGTTCTGAGATTATGGTTGTGCACCACCATGTCTGGCTTTGTTTCTTCAATTCTAAAACAACAAGGAAGAACTTCTATATTCTGATTTGAAGCTTTCTCTAGTCTGAAAACTGTACTATTAGTTTTACTGGTCATTATTCCCATGTGTATGTATGTATGCCTCTGAATGCTTTCAAATACTTAGAGAGTTGGGGGGAAGAAGTACAGACATTGCTCTGTTGGGAAATGGAAGAGAGGGAGCTCCCGACACCTGCTGGAGGTCTTCACCATATGGCTTTGAGGGTGAGGCAAGGTGAATGAGGAAGTTCAAACAATAGTCAGCTATTATTGTCAGCACTTTAAGTCTAGAAGGTTATTGGAAGTAGACATGCCATGAAGGCAAGTTCTTTCATTTTTATCCTGGTGGTTTTCTCATTTTACTGAGGCAGTTTTAAATTGTCTTTGGTTGCTTTGCATTTACAGAGTTTAATCAACTTGTAAATGTTTATGGAATTAATACATTGGTGTGTCTTACTGAATATCATGTAGCCTAATGTAGTAAGTAGTTAAGTGTGGGAACTTTGATATCCTAACAATTAGAAGCTAGGTGAGCTTGAGTCGTTTTTTATTATAGTTGAGAGTAAATGAGATTTTATTTATTTATTTTTTCTGGCCATGTCCCATTAAATCTTAATTTATTAAGAAACAGTCCACAGTCCAGATTTAGACTTGGGGCTATATTTTGCAGATCCTGGTTGTGATGATTAATCATCACTGCTGATTTTGGAGTCACCTAGAAGACTGCTGTGTATGTGTATTGTGTTGTGTTTGTGTGTGTATGTGTGTGTGTGTGTGTGTGTGTGTGTGTGTGTGTGTGTGTTGTGTGTTGTTGATTTCCAGAAAGGTATCACTGAGGAGGGAAGGCTTGCTTCAAGTGTGTGTAACTCCTTCCTATGAAGCAGGGTCCGTGTGTGTGTGTGTGTGTGTGTGTGTGTGTGTGTGTGTGTGTGTGTGTTGTGTTGTGTTGTGTTGTTGATTTCCAGAAAGGTTTCACTGAGGAGGGAAGGCTTGCTCTGAGTGTGTGTAGCTCCTTTCAATGAAGCAGGTCCCAGACTCAATAAAAAGAAGAAAAGGAGAAAGCCAGCTGAGCCCCAGATTTCATTTCTCTCTGCTTCTTGACTGCATCTCAATGTGCCCAGCAGCCTCTTGCTCTTGTTGACATGGCTTCTCTGCTGGACTGTTGCCCCTCAAACTGTGAGCTAGAAATGAACTCTTGCTTAAGTTGCTTTTGTCAGGAACTTGTTACAGCAACAAGAAAAGTATCTAATGCTGTGGTGTAGATGAACCTGACTATATACTTGCCTGTTTCCATAACAGTCCCCTGTCCGCCTCAGCATGGCATTCCTTCCAGGGGAGCTCTTCTTCAGGATAGGGACAGTTGAGTGTACCCTCAGAAGCCCATGTGAATGAACATTATGTGGTCCAACTTTTCATTGGATAATATCAAAATGACAGTTTTCTCTCCAAGAGTCTTCAAAACTCCTATCTCAAAGTTTGCCTTTCCAGGCTCTTCAGTACCAAACTACCATCTTGGGCTTCTACTTCCCCAAAACGCTGGCCTTTGGTCACACCTCACAACTCCCTAAATATTCTGTCATGGTTTTCTCCATGGTCAGTGTGATCTTAGTACAGTAAGCAGTTAATTTCAGTGTTAGATGCTGGTAGCAGATGAGATTTTTATACACACACACACACACACACACACACACACACACACACACACACACGCAATTTAATGCAGTCTCTATGGCACTTAATGTGACACACTTATTAGCTGACAGTTCCTTTTTCTTTCCCGTCCTGTTACTTCTATCGATGATACTCCACCACTGCTTCCCTTTTGTTTGGAGGGCCTAGACCTTAATGAAACAGAAGACATAATTAGATATGGTTCACAGCAGCAGATTAAAAAAGAAATAAGTCATCATTTTCTTAGGCATTGACTAAATACTTTCTAAACCAAATTGGAAAAATGAAAGATCAGAATCTTCATATTGGTTTAAGATAGCTGTACAAATGAGTTTAAAAAATTGATTATTTTAAAATATATTTGGTTAATGCATATAAAACAACCTTTCTATGAACTTATGGATTATATGGTTCAAAGAATTGCCATTATTTACTAATTTAACACCAGATTTTTTTTTTTGAGTGATGTGCCCTTTTTTGAAATTCTTAAAAGAATTTTTTTTCTCTCCTTGGGAGAACAGTTATGGAGTTCTTGTCTAATGTATGAGGCTCATTTTTGTGGGAATCAGATAGGAAAGCTGTCCTGACCATTTACACTAATGGAGATGAGCATTAGCATGGATAATATATTTGGATTTGATGTGCATTATGTGATTATTTTTGCAGCACAATTAACTTCCTGATTAAACTTCACTGAGTGAGTATCTTGAGCATACACTTGGTGGAAAAGTGGGTGATAAAATTATTAGTTTACTTGGTAGGTGATATGGATTTTGGCCTGGCTTTCCACTCAAATAGTTGTGAGTCTGAGATAACTCTCCAACTAGTTTTCTCATCTTCAAAGTGAAGAGGTTATACAACCTGAATTTTTAAAAACTTTTTATTGATTCTTTGTGAATTTCATATCAAGTACCCCAATCCCACTCTTCTCCCCATCTCTCCATATCTGCCCTCTGCCCTTGCAACCTTCCCCACAAAAGAAAACAAAAAGTAAAACTAATAAAAAAATAAAGAATAAAAATAAAAACAAATCACTGTGGAAGCTGCGGTGTGTCATGGTGTGTCACCCAGTCTACCCTTTTGCAGGAACAGCTTTGCTTTCAAATGTTCATTGTAATGGTCATTGGCTTGGTTTGAGGCCTCTGCTTCTGCTCTACTGTCAGTACTGGATCCTCACTGGGGCTCCTCTCAGATATCCTGTTGTTGCTCCATGTCATGGAGATCTTGCAGCTTTGGTTCTGCAGGAGCAGCCCCTTCACATTGTTCCAGCAGTTCTTAGATGAGGTGGATGTTGGGGTGGGCCAACTCAAAGCCCTGGATCTAGACCTGGGTGGTAGTTGAGTTGGTCAGCCCAGCTGCTCTCCTGTGCCACCAAGGTCATCTCTCCTGCTTTGCCCAGGTGAGGAGCAGGGCCAGCTCTCCCACAGGCACACCACCAGAGCCAGCTCTCCAGCACTGCCCTGGCAAGGGGTGGAGCCAGCTCTCCTGCCGTGGGGACCACCTCTCCCATGCCTGCACCACTAGGGCTAGATCTGGTGTTCTGCACTATCCAGGCTGTAGCCAGCGAGGGATGGGGCCACCTCTTCAGCTCTCAGGGCCACTTCTCCTGCCTACCACAGGGGAGAGTATCTCTCCCTCGCCCACGCCACTGTAAGGCCTGTGAGGGTGGGGCCAACTCTCCTGAGCTCCCACCCTCGGTTGGCTCACCTCCGCCCCTACCACTAGGGCCAGCTCTACTGTGCTGCCCAGGCGAGGTGTGGGGCCATTTCTCCCAAGTGCTGCAGCCATGAGAGGTGTGGCCAGCCCTTCATAGCCCTTAGGCATGAGCATGGCCTAAGTGGCAGCCCAGACCACAGGTGTCTGCATGGCTTTTGGTACATGGACATTGACCCAGAGTCCTTCTGCTGCAGGACCATGGACCCAGACATGACCCTCAGCAACAGCATGGGCTGGGACATCTCTATGGCCTAGGTGGCTGGGCAGGCTACTCACATTGGGCAGTTCCTCATCTCCCCACCATGTACTTGTTAATTGCAGTGGCGCCCAAACTGTATGGCTGTGGGTGGGGGGCCTCTGTGGTGTCTCTTACCTTTCAGCCCCAAACTACAAAGAGCTGGAAGCCGAATCTGAACTTCAGTTGGTCTCCACACAGCTTCTGTATAAGGTACTAGGCCTCTTTTTTGGCACTGTGTCAACCCTACTTATCGTTATTGTCTCTCTGAAGTTTTCTTCTCCAGCCAACTCCAAGCTCATGAGAGCAGGAAACTATCTGCCATGTTCCCCAATGCCAAGAAGAGGGCTTGGCCCAGAGTCAGCACTGGTCACCGCCATCACGTCTCTGGTTGTGCCTTTCTCAGTAGAGCGCACCACTCTATTTTTCTATCTTTCCCTCCAGTCCTTCACGTATTTGTTCTTTGTAGTGGTGTCCTGTGCTGGAGAGGTAGGTTGGAAACTATAGATGCAGTAGTGACATATTCTGGCCACCAGAGGGGGAAGTCCAGTCAGTCATCTCATGCTGTTTCTGACCAGAATATGTGTCATTCATGGAAATGAAAGGGGCACATTTCACCCATATCCTTGTCCATTTAGGGTGAGTTGTAGTGCCTCTTGCTCTCTGATTCCTGTTTCGTCCTTTCAATGTTCTTGGTAGAACTGGGACAAATAAAGAGAGTGGAGGTTGTCAGGGCTTTATCTAATTTTATTCTGTAAGATAGTTAATGACTCTCAGATGACCAGTGTGCATCTTAGATGGGAAGCACAGTAGTGATGAGTCACCAGATTTGGGCCTTTGTGATCACTTCCCTTGTTCAAACACAGGCATACACAAACAGTACTCAACCCATGACTTTCCCTCTTGTTGAAACTCCAGGGATGAAAGTGAACTGTCTTGTGAGAAGTATAGCGGATGGAGCATGCCATTTGTAACTAGGTCCCAGTTGTGTATTGCTATTTAGTATTTATGTAACCATGGGCACTAAAACCTTGGATCTGAGCTGAGCATAGTGGTTTATGCCTTTAATCCCAGCGCTCATGAGACAGGCAGAGACAGGTGGATCTCTGAGTTCGAGACTAGCCTAATCTATATAGTGAGTTCCAGGCCAGCCAGGGCTACATAACGAGACCTTATCTCAAAAACAAAACAGAATGGAACAGAATCCTTGGATCTATAGTATCTTTATTTGAAATATTAGGATGCTTACTTTTAACCCATTTGATCCTTTTTTAGTAGTGAGAAATACTGTAGAAATTCTTTAATATTTATGTGAAAAGCAATACTGTTCTTAAATAGAACACTATAGCAAAGGTACATATTTTAAATATAGCACATTGTTTTGATAAAAACAGCTGTTGGTGATTATTAAGATATAAGTACTACAGACAGACAGTTGCCACTCCAGTGAGACATCCTCTTACCCCACAAAAAGATAAATAAATTATCTGAGCATAGGTTCAAAGTGGCAATAGTTCAGTCACCAGTTGAAAGACTAGGAGCAGGTCATCTTGATTGGGGGCGGGGGG